TTTGGGGGATGCATGGTCCATAAAACTGCCCTCACAGCACTAGGCATGAAGTTCAGCGTTCCCAAGACCACCCTGAGATTGGACGATTCAGTAGAAGGACTCACAGAAGTCACTGAAATGTGCACAGGCACACTCGCGTTATGGTTGATCATGGCCGAGTTATTACATCGAAAGTTGTGAGCACAGTGCCTGCAACACAGGTAAGTGCTTAGGAAGGGTTAGCTGGAAAGCAAACTATTTTATAAAGAATTGAGCCCTCCCCAGACGAGTTCTGGCCTTTGCCCTTATTTCTGGGAGGTCATCTCTAGGTCTTTCAGTGCCAGGCTTGACTGGGCTACTTCTATTTGCCTTCGTGTGAGTTACTCAGATGAAGCCAGCCAAGGGAAGAGGCACACAGGGCAGAGTCCAGGAAAGCTCCAGACAGGGAGCACCTGAATTCATGGACAGCCGTGCTCCCTCATTGTTGAGTCTGACTAGACACAGAGAGCTGCAGACCAGGGAAGTTAGGCAGAGCCAGTGTGTCGAGCGTTCCTAATGGACTCTAGCACGTAGTCAGAGTGGTCTGAACACGAGGCTCATCTCAGTCTCTAGCCCCTCGGAATAACTGATATTACACAACCCAAAGCCCCTACCCTAAACTACATCGTTAGCTATTTAGCTTGACCCAAGACACTGAGGCAAACAAAAGCTCTAGTCAAGCCTGGCATTCTAAAGACCAGAACTCTTCTGGACAAGGCTCAACTTTTTATAAAATAGTTTGCTTTTCAGCTAACCCTTCCAAAGCACTTAACTGCGTTCCAGGCACTGTGCTAACAGCTTTCAATGCAGTAACTCCTGCAACCCCCGGAACAGCACTGGGAGGTGAGTGCAGGTGAGGGAACAAAGCCACGAGATGTGTCTTGTGCAAAGTCACGTAGCTGGTGAGCACCAGTGTAGATTTCAGACGTGAGTCTGTGCTTTTGTCCAGTGTCTTACACTGCTTTTTACCACATGATTAAATTCTACTTATGACTTAAAAAAAAAAAAATACTGAATTTTATTTGCCATTGTCTGAAGATAGCATCTTGGAAATTTGCCACTGGCTTCTGGATAGGATACCTGGGGAGAAAATGGTAGAGGAGGAAGAGTAGAAGTTTTAACCCCCTTAGATGTATGTTTCAGTCTCTCTCATCTTTTATTCTTTTATTCATCTTTGTGAGAAACTAAATTACCTACCAAAAAAAGCCCGAGTAGCGCTTCCCAGTGGTCATTTCTGCCCTCACACGGTCAGTTCTTCACTGCCTCCGTGGGAGGGTGTGCCTGATTCTGTGAGCACTGCACTTTCTCTACACTAACTAAAATTCTACTTCTTGATGCTTTGGGGTCTTCTAAAGTTTTTTTTTTTCCTAGACAGTAATAGGTTTTCTATGTGTGGGATGTAAAAAGTAAGAAGATGATGTTATTTTAAGAGCACTAAGTGGTAGGACATGGAAACCTTCTTGCTGTATTAATGGGAAACAAGTCGCTTTCCTAACGCCGAGGGGTTGAGTGCATACCTGTGCAGAAGCACGATTCCTGCCTTCCCTGACTGATAAGCTGAGAGGTGGTCATTAAAATCTCAGGTTTACTTAAAAGTAGAGATTCAAGTGAACGTGTTCAGTCTAACAGTGGTACAGCATTCACGTCAAGTCCACTGGCAAACAGATAGGAATTAACTACTGTCAGGAGAGCACGGGGCGAAGTAGGGGTAGTTGGAGGCTGTTTGGCTGAGACAGAGCCAGTGCCTTTGGTTCTTTCACAATCAAACTGAAGCTCATTGTAAATAGTAAAACAAAATTTAAGCTAAGCCAATCAGAAGCCACTGACTAACCTCTAATTAAGTTCATACCCAAATAAGGCAGCCCCATCATGTGTCTGCTCTGGTGATCAGCTTGTGGAAGACTGCCATTCACGCTGCTGAGGCCGACCTCTGAGCGATGCTTGATTCCTGGTTCATTCTTTGCTCATGTCAACTCGGTTAAATATAGTTTGTCTGAAGTTTTTCTTTTAACAGCATAAATACCTATAATGTCTTATTTTTCATTACGTTCTTGTATGTGCGAGATACTGATTGTTAAGAGATAAAGATATGAATGACAGCTTCTAAAAATACCAATTTCTGAAAATTTCACATACTGATATTTTTCCTTTTGGACCTACAAATAAACTACATTGACGTAGTTTTTACTACTTATACAGAATAATGTTGATTTTATTGGTAATTCATAGGAGCACTCTTCTTTCTATTTGCTTTTTTCTAGATGAAGAGAAGAATAAACAAAGTAAAACAAAAACTCAAACTAATGATTCTATTGAAGGAAAAGCAAAATCCGCACGGCATACATATGTTCACAAACCGTATCTTTACTCGAAGTACTACAGTGATTCTGACGATGAGCTGACTGTGGAGCAGCGGCGACAGTCGATCGTAAGTCTCGGAGGGCTGTCGTCACGTGGCAGTTAGACAGCCTGCGGGGAAGGTGTCATCGTGTGATGTGAGGCAGAGACAGGCTTTGCCTGCAGGGACCCTGTCCTTTAGACATGACAGACAGAGGTGTCTGTGTCATCCTTACTATCACAGGAGTGTCTTACCAGAATGTTGGGACCAGAAAGTTTTTGGATTTGGGAATATTTACGTATATATAAGGAGATATCTTGGAGATGGGACCTACACCTAAACTAAAATCCATGTATGTTTCTTGTATACCCTATACACATAGCCCAAAGGTTATCTTATATAATGTTTTTGGTAATTTTGTGCGTGAGACAAAGTTGTGACTACCTTTTGACTGCCACCTGTCAGGTCAAGTTTGGAATTTTCCACTTAATAGTGCTCAAAACCTTCTGGATTTTGGAACATTTCAAATTTTCAGATTGGGGAGGTTCAACTTGTAGTAGTGAAAAACTAATAACAGTCTAAATGTTTCACAGTATGAAAATGTTTGAATCAAGTGTAAATCTGGCCATACATAGAGGCAGCATGCAGCTGTTAACATCATACAGAGAGAGACATGCAGTTCACATGTTGCCTGGATCTGAAAATGCTTTCAATGAGAACATGCCATTAAATTAACAGCTTTTTAGAGAAAATTGGTACCTCCTTATACAGGTGGGCATAAAGTTCGTGTGCAGTTTACTATGTTGAACTATTTTCAATTGTACATGAACTCCATGTCCACCCCATATGTATACATCGGTTTTAAGATGGCTTATAATTTCAGAAACATTAAATTAAAATCTGGAAAGTTTTATATCCCCAGATGAGGAAATATTTTTGTTTGTTTTTTTGAGACAAGAGTCTCACTGTGTTGCCCTAAGTAAAGTACTGTGGTGTCACAGCTCACAGTGACCTCCAACTCTTGGGCTTGAGTGATTCTTTTGCCTCTCTCTTGACTATAGGCACCTGCCACAATGCCCAGCTATTTTTTGTTGCAGTTATCGTTGTTCAGCTGGCCTGGGCCAGGTTCATACCCACCACCCTTGGTATGTATGGCTGGCACTATAACTGTGCTACAGGTGCTGAGCCAGGAAATATTATTACATAGAAAAATGGTTGGCAGGAACTGCACCAAGATGCTGACAGTGGCTAGCCCTCCGTCCAGGCTTGTCTCCTGAAAAGGTTGCATGGTTGGGGTGAGGCATCTGCTTGGGATGTTTTAGCCCTTAGACTGAACGGGAGCAGCACAATGATTGTTGAGTTTTCCCTGGTTTAAAATACAACAGCTGAAAGTCCCAAGTCCAAAGTCGGGGTCCCAAGAATATAACCAGCAAGTCAAAGTTGTTGTTGGACTACCTGTCATTTGAATCTGCATTTCAACTTTTTTCTTTAAGAATAACTGAAAAACTATGGAGACCTAACTGTGTATACTTGATGTTTACAGATATTTTCTTGCCTTTCTTTTTAATTGAAACAATCAATTTACTTAAA